CACGTCTTATAATGAAGCATAATAGTTGTTTATGCATAGTATATACCGCGTCATACATGACTGAAATTAGATAGACTAGTAGGAAAATGGTAGGATTTAATGAGCCTCTAGGCATTATTCAGAAAACCTGTTTGATGCACAGTGATTACATGGACCATCTTTATTTGATAGCCGCTTCAAAGAATAGAAGACCTATTCATTCAGTTAAAAGGTGCAAAGGTGTTTTCAAAATCGATTTGCGATCGAATTATCACCATCTCAAATAAAGGACTGTGATATCCTTAAGACAATTTAGAACTTGATATAGCCTACCCAAAATTTCTTTAAAGTAGGAAAGTCTAGTGGATGCCCCTTAGCTTTAGGCTTTATATCTGCAATTTTATTTATTTATTTTTCTGGTGAATTAAAGGATAGGGAACTTTAAGAAGAAAAATATTAGAGGGTTTATCTTAATTTATTTCTATGTAGGGGAAAAATACGAGTTCTTTGAGCCTAATAAATAATCAATGAATCTCACACAGTATGAAATAATTAGAGATTTTGACGAATATTTGTTGAATCTCCCACATCGAGTGAACACAGTCAAATGAAGGGCTAAATGATGCGTACGTGGTCTAGATGAATTTATTGCAAGCAAAGGAAGTACTTGGGACTTTTAAGCTGTGTGAAGACCCTTAGCATTAACTGGTTACCCAAGGCTATTAGGCTAGAACTTGATAAAAAATTCTTAGAGGTGATTCCTGACTTTAAGAGATGAAGGATTTTGATGTTATTCTGTACAATAATTGGTTGGGATTACGAATGGAGATTTAACTAATCATGTCAGCCAATCAATGTAATACCTATGCGGAGTTAATTGTTCCAATTGTCACTAAACTTGTGTCTATGTTTTCGAGTTTTGACTATTGAACTTTAATAAACATTGGAAATTACTTACTCATATAACTTCTGTTTAAAATCCCTAAAGGAATTGATGATGTGGTTGACGTAATGTACACGTGGCGTTCTTTCACGCAATTAAACTTTGAGATGGTCAAATTTTGACCATTAAACTTTAGAGAATGTCATCGATTGCTTACTAAATTTTGAAAAACATCGTCTATTAATCACTAAATTTTGAAGTGGTCGAATTTTGGCTACTAAACTTTGAGATTATCGAATTTTGATTATTAAACTTTGAAAAATGTCTTCTATTCCTCACAATAAATTTGAATTTAATTAAAATTTATTGTTAAAACTTGGATTAAAATTTGAATTTAATTTAATTGAAATTATTATGTATTTCGTTGTAAATTAAAATATTAAATTTCAAATTTAATTTAATTTTAAAAACATATTTATTGTATATTTCGTTGAAAATTGAAATATTACGATAGAACACTACTAACTGAGATTATGAAAAAGAGTGTAGGATTCCATTGGGGGATTGAAAAAAAATATGCATTTAATACTATTAAGGATATGTTGTGTTCTGTATTTGTTTTAGCACTATTTGACTTTAACAAAACTTTTGAAATTGAATGTGGTATCTCAGGTATAGAATTGGAGCTGTTTTAATGCAGGTTATGAGACCAATAACTTATTTTAGTGAAAATTCAAGTGGGGCAGCTTTGAATTATCCTATATCTAACAAAGAGTTTTATGAACTTGTTCGAGCTTTGGAGAAATGACAGCACTACCTATAGCCTAATGAGTTTGTAATCCACACCGATCATGAGTCATTGAAACATCTAAAGGTAACTCAAACAAGAAGTATGCGAGGTCGATGGAGTTTATTGAGGCCTTTTCGTAAGTCATTCGGTATAAATAAGGTAAAGAGAACATAGTAGTTGATGCATTATCAATGAGGTATGTACTTCTTACTTATTTTAGTGCAAAGGTTTTTGGGTTTGAATATGTTAAGGACATGTATGCCAATGATCCAAATTTTTCTAACATGTATATAATATATATCATGTGATAAAGGTACAATTGATAAATTTTATAAGTATGATAGATATCTGTTTAAGGAAAATATGTTATGCGTTTCTAATTGTTCAATGCGCAAATTGTTAGTACGTGAAGGACATAGTGGGGTTTGATGGGACATTTTGGCATAAAAAAGACCTTAGACATGTTGCACGAACATTTTTATTGGCTTAAAATGAAAATAGAAGTTAAATCACATTTATAGTAATGCATTACCTGTAAAAAGGCTAAGTTTTAGGTTTTACTATAAGGTTTGAATACACCTTTACTTCTAGTGAGTGTTGGGTTGATATATCTATGGAATTTGTGTTAGAATTGCCTAGAACGAAAAGGGGTAGATATTTCATATATGTGGTAATGGATGGATAGATTTAGTTAGATGGCACACTTCATACATTGTCATAAAACAGATGATGCCACGAATATAGCTAACTTATTCTTTAATGAAATAGTGCGACTCCACGGAATACCTAGGAGTATTAGTAGTTAATAGGAAATTGACACAAATTTTGCACAATATAGTCAATAAGAATTTAAAGAGTTGGAATGATTGCTTGCCATACATAGAATTTGTATATAATAGGGTCATGCATTCTACTATTTCTTATGCACCATTTGGAATTGTATATGGTTTTAATCCATTAACTGTTTTCGATTTAATTTCTTTACCTCATGATGAAAGAGATAGTCTGATGGGAAGAAAAAGGCGGAATTGATAAGATCAATCTATGAGACAGTGCTGGGTCAAATTAAGAAATAAAAAAATGAGCATTATGCTTCTCAAGTTAATAAAGGACGGAGGCGTGTTACATTTAAACTAGGTGGTTGGGTTTAGGTGCATATGAAAAAAGAACATTTTCCAGCTCAAAGGAGATCAAAATTGCAACAAGAGGTGATAGACCATTCCGAGTACTTGAATATATCAATGACAATGCCCTATAAATTAGGTCTTCCATGTGAGTATAACATTTCTTCTATTTTCAATGTTTCTGACTTTTCTCTATTTGATGAAGGTGGAGATTCGATAACGAATCTTTTTAAAGAGAGAGAGAATGATGAGAACCATGGAATGAAAGTTAGTAAAGATTCACTGATTATGGAATAAGAATTAGTGACGAGATCGCGACCAAAGAAGATCAAAGAAGCCGTTGAATTACTTGTTCCAGCAATATGGGCCGAAACTTCGTTTAACATCTAGTTTCACTACTCCTAATATGTATTTATTATTTTCCTCTTTCTTTTATTTTTACCATCTTCCCTTCAATAATTATATCATGTTTCTCCATTTTCTTCTTTAACTCAACTCCTGGTCTTCATTGACATGTCATTCCAAACAAGATAAACTTCTATTCATTTTTAGAAAAAAAAAATTATCAGTTTTATATAGGAAAAGAAATGCATTTGTGTTCTTTATAAATATACCTTCAAGTAGATTAATTAAATTGGTTCTTGATGGCTCTGACTCTGATTATTATTTGGAGATGGCAATAGAGTTTGTAGATGGAGAGTTACTCAACAAGAGGAGACAGATTTTACGTCAAGGCCCAATACAACTATACAAGGTAATAAGTGTTTATGGTGAGGTCATTGTTAGGTATTTTATGTAATTGGCTATTCTGTGAACAAAAAGGACTTGAATTGATATTTTGTAAAAAGTCAAGGAGTAGTGTACAGTTAATATAAATTTTGATATTTTAGGTCTAGGGATTGAGAATGGGAAAGAAGGAAAAATGGCGCGGATTTTCGCCAGCTTTTCGTCGAGGTTTGGCTCGAGCGTCAGAAATATAAATTTCATCGCTAGATTGTCGCCTCACCTTCGCTCGAACGACAACCTGTGGCTCAATTATCGCGGACCTTCGGTCGAGCGACAGTGTTGTTAAGGAAACTTTTATTTAGTTTTTTAAAAGCTTTTGGTCTAGTTCACTCATTCTCTAACCTACATATAAATACTTAAACGCCACAGAACATATTTTTCGAATGTTGATTATTGAGAAAAACTACTGCTTTCATATTCTTTTCATTCTCTGAAGTATTCAACCTTCATTGTTAAATTTGATCTACTTTTGGTGGTGAAAAAATCAGTTTCACAATCCAAATACCAAACTGCTGCTTTTTATATATCTGTCAGAGTTTCTAAAGAACAAGTGAAGGTGACTGGAGTTCAAGTAGTTGAAGAACGCGGTGTTCTTCATGGATTCACAAGAGATAAACAATTTTACAAAGCTAGGAGTTGCTACAGGAGAGCACAATCCGAGAAAGCTTTGAAAATTGTAGCTGGGAGTGGTGCAGGAGCATAGAATCCAGGAGAGCTATTGGAATTGCAGTCAGGAGATCATATAGTATGTGTCGTCGTTTTGTTTGGTAGACTGTAAGTTATAAATCATTTATAGTGGATTGTTGACTGGCAAAGTGCCTGGAGTTTTTACCTAGTTGGGGTTTCTCCATGATCATATCGTGCGTTATTTATTATTTTATTTACTGTTAGTTTATTCTGTGGTATTCAAACATAGAATAATCGGATTGTATGCTTTTTTTTTTTTTTAAGAAAGCAGAAGAAGAATAGCACATTGCTCAAGATATAACATAATCCAATTTCAAGAAATGTTTCCCATTCCCCTTTCCGTTTCAATCTACAAAATGAGAGATACAGATCTGCCAAATTTTTGAAGTCTGTGTGCTGATGTCCGACATCAAAGTTCATAACCCCCATTCTTTCGAAGTAATCACTAGCAATCCCAAAGCTCCAATGAGTATATACTTGATGATAGGCTTTTCGGTCATTATTATCGTCACCCAACCTACCTAGGGCAGAAATCCAACAGCTCTTCCCATAATATGATGCCTTTGCAGCCAGAGCTGACCGTGAGCATACAGAAGCCTGTCGTCCCCAAAATTATTATCTCCTTTTGTCAGGATATCAACTTCTCCTGTGTCTTGGCGCTCGTGAACCTTAATGACTCGGTGGACAATAGGAATTTCACGCCCATCAACATTAAACACCACAATCTCCCCTGCCCGAATAGGGTCCTTACTCATGTCTAAGAACAAGATGTCACCCCTTTTAAAGCTAGGTTCCATGCTTCCAGAGAGCACAACAACAACTGGTGATTCACTACCAGTGATGCACATTAACCCTTTCCATATAATAAGCGCAGATGTTACAATCATTCCGAGGCTAATCGCTTGCGTGAGGACTTGTCTGAACTGTAGAGATTTGATTGAATCGATCTGCTCTCCGACCTACCCCATTTTTCTCGCGTCGTTCTCTATCTCTCACTTAGTGTGGGTATCGGATTGTATGCTTATCTAGAGATAATTAATTAGTGACTTGCTGTTATAAATTTTTAATTCTGCATTTACACATATTCACCCCCTCTAGATGTAGTTTGGGTGGAACTGCATACTTTCAATTGATATCAGAGCTTTAATTTGATTCCTGGTCTCTAATAAAATCTAGATGAACAGTCACTGTTTGTGCCTTCGTTTTTAGATAGAAGCAACTATGCTTATTGGAAAGTTCTAATGAGAGCCTTCTTTAAATCGTCGGATAAACGTATTTGGATGAGCGTTCAAACTGGTGGATTCTACCTTCAACTACTGTTACTGGAGTAGTACACCCACTGATATTTCATTATAGACTAAAACTAACTTATATGAATGTAACTGAAACATTAAAGCATTACATACCCTGTTCATAGTTGTGTCCGCTGAAGAGTTGAGGAGCGTTTCAATGTGTAAGACTGCTAAAGAGGTTTGGGACATCTTAGAAACCACAGACGAGGGAACTAAAATGGTTAAAAATTCTAAACTGCAAATGTTAACCACTAGGTTTGAAGAAATTAGAATGAAGGACGATAAATCGTTCGATGTATTCTATGCGAAGCTGAATGACATAATTAATTTGAGCTTTAACCTAGGTGAAAGGATTCCTGAGTCCAAGATCGTTAGAAAAGTCCTTAGATCACTACCTGAAAGGTTTAGACTTAAAGTCACCGCTATTGAATAAAGTAAGGATTTAGATGCAGTTAAGATAAAAGAACTCGTAGAATCCCTTCAAACCTATGAACTCACCGTTTCTCAACCTAAAAATGTTAAATCTATAGCCATGAATACTATTAGAGAAGAAGAGAGTGGGTCTTCTAATGGTGAGTCACTTAAGGACGACAAAATTACTTATTTCATTAAAAAAATTCAGAAAGTGATGAGCAATAGGAGAAATCCTCAAAAACAAAAAAAAAGAATTCCTTAGTAAATTCGTAAAAGATAATCGCGAAAAGACTGACTTGAGGACTAGTAATAAGAAAACAATTTGTTAGATGCCATGAGCGTCAGAGTTACGGTCACTATAAGAATGAATGTACTAACTTGAAAAAGAGTTTAATAAAGGTAGACGTAAGGCTTTAGCAGTGACATTAAGTGATGATGAATCAAATTCTAATGTTCAGAGTGATACTTCTGGTGGTTTACGATTGACGCTGATAAAGAGATTGATAAGGTTAAAAGTGATGAAGAGAGTGAGAAAGCTGAGGATGAACCTGATATTCACGAATCTTATCGTAAACTATTTGAGGAGAGACTTAAGATTAAAAATGTCAATAAAGATGTTCTAAAAAAGGTTAATGAACTTGAAAGAGAAATAGAAAAACTCATAGGTGACCTTCAGGACTTTACCAAAAGACTGAGTGAGTCGAAGCTTGTTAAAAAATTTGGAAGCCACAATTAAATCATTAACACGTGATCTTGAAAAATCCAATTCTCAACTCTAATCATTCATGAGTGGCTCGTAGAAACTTGATAATTTGTTGGGGATGAACAAGCCTGCTGGAGATAGGCATGGTTTGGGTTTCGTTCAAAATGATAATACTACATGCCAGTACATTTAAGATTAGGTTCGTTTTGGCAACTAACAAAGCTCGAAAAGTTATTTATCCTGAACCAAAGGACAAAAATGACTTAGGATCGAGACCTACTAGACAACGTAGGGTAGATCGTCCTCCTTATCGGCAACAACTGCAAAACAGGGTTGAATCTGGGTTTATTCCCACATGTCACCATTGTGGCGCACTGGGATACACAAGACCTAGGTGTTGTAAACTTGTGACTATAAGTAAAAGTTAGGATGTCTCGAGCACGGTCAACTTTCTCGCTAACCAGGTTAGCCACTTAACTGAGATGATGACTCGATTAACTAAAATCGCTTCTATTTCTAAACAAGCTTAGGTCAAGAAAAATGACTTGGAAGGTCGTGAGTTTGATCATGCTCTTAAAGGAAAGAGCATCCATGATTCTTCTTGATTAGTTCCTTAGATGCATACATATACAGTTCATTAAGTCCACTCATTCGTGTATGTATCTCATTTATTTGTGTTTTGTTTTATTTCAGTTTGTATTTATTTCCTTTAGATATTGATTTTTTTCAATTTAAAAAAAAATAATAATAAAATTAGGCTCTAGACAGTTTATGGTGCTCTTGAACAATGCATTTGCGACAGAGTGTGCACTTATCTGATCTATATTGTTATTTCCATTACTTGGTTTGATTCACGATGGAGTATTGCGTATATGTTTCTTCATGTACCATCTGCACAATACACACTGTGATTTTATGAGTGAGTTTGGACCGCATGTGTGAGATTTGGGATGACTTTCATTTGTTGATAAGGTGATCTTGAACGTGAATTGACCTACATTTAGATGACCTTAGCTCATGATGTATCTCCCTGTATTATTAAAAAAATTATATACTTGCTTGATTTATCTTATACCATTGTTTGAAGAAGCCTATTTGACTCGAGTAATTAAGCCTGCAACGTTTCTCATAATCTGGTGCCTATGATCGACTGACTTGGGTTAACCGACATAAATCTCGTTACAGGGTTCAATTTAGTCTTTTAATGGATAAGAGTCTGCACCTAAGATGCGATATTTGAGAAAAGAAACATAAAAATTATATGCTCAAATTCAGTGGGAGAAAATACAAATATCTATGTAATTGAGCTCGATTTCAGGTCCTAAAAATCTTATGGGTTTGACTTTCATCAGTAAAGAAAATGCTTATTTAACGGTGATGCTCACATGTTATTTCTCACAAATTTAAGGTTTGGAGTCATATTCACAAGAAAATAGTGGTACTTTACACACGTGAGTCTCCTATACACTTTACTCCACTTTGAACTTGATTGAGTACGTGAGAAAGTTTTTTTGATAATGTCTTACATGCGAGCACATGCATTTTTTAGTTCATCTACGTTTCGAGTGCTTAATTTTTTTAAAAAAGTGCTATTTTTCTCAATTTTCAAAAAATTAGTATTATTTTTGTCATTAAGTTTTCGCTCAGTTATCGCTGATCCACGTTTGAGCGATAGTAGCAGACGTTGACTTGCTCGCTTATCGCTCGACTTTCACTCAAACGACAGCCCGTTTATTTGAATTTTAACTTTATTTTCAAGGGTTTTACATACTTTTTACCCATTTTTCTTCCAATTCTTCCAAATTTCTCCAACCCACCTCCACTTTCAGTTTTACCCACTTCTTAAACATTCAAATTCATACATTGGTGGTGGCATTTCATCAAATCAAAAACTCTCAAAGGTAAATGACTAAAGATTTGTTTTTTTTTTTTTTTTGCCATTTTTTGCAATTGTTTTGGGGTGTTTCGATTTTTGCCCATTGCTGCTTTCAATTTTGGATTTGGCAACTCATGTTCTATTCATTCTCGTACAATGTCGTCAATTATTGCACAATTTTGAGTGAATATTGGATTTTTGGCTTGGTTTGGTGCAGGGTTTTTTTTTTTTTTTGTTCTTTACTCCATTTTTTTACTTACTTGGGTTGTTGATGACGGTTGCAGTAGAATTAGTTAGCGGTTTGTGTTTATATTGGATGGGAATGTACTTGATGTATTGGACGATTTTGGTGAGAGTTTTGGGTGGAATTTAGGTTCGTTGTTAGAAGTGTGATGTTAGTTTTCCTTCATGTACACGGGGCACCCATGTTCTCTTTTATCTTGGTTTGTGTTTGGTGTTGACACCATTAGGAAATGTTATGGTAATTTGGCATGTCATCGAGGCACAAGTCATGTCTTCGCGTCACCTACGTTTAGGCATCACGACACATTTATGTTCATTCATCCTATGGTGCATTGCATATGTCTTGTTTGCCTTGGTTTTCATACATTTCATGCGCCTTTTGCATCTTATATTGTGGTATCAATTTATTGGGTTTACTCATTTCAGATGCTGCCTAAGATTGCCCGTACTATTGCCTCGTCACCTGGTACCTCCACATCTTACAGTAGGTTTAGATTTATTTTTGTTGTTGCCCAAGACACTTTTGGGTCGCAGTTTTCTTTGAGACCTATCTTGTTTGAGCGTGTGGTCATTATGTTTGACCAGTAACCTCACTGCTATTTTCACTTCCTGGGGTTGGGAATCTTTGTTGGTCGAGTCTTCTTATTTATGAGCTTTATGCTAACATTCATGACGTTAGCAGTTCATCTTTTAGAGTATTTTTTAGGGGTAAGACGATTAAGATCACTCCTGATGTTGTGTCATGCGTTACTCATATTCCTTGAGTCGTCTACTCCCTATTTCCTTATTTGATGCCCGATACTCTTCCGACAGACTCTCTAGTCTGTTCGACCTTGTTTAACATACCGTTGGAGGGATGTTCTGGTGCGATCAGAACTGGCACTCTTCCTATTGATCGCCAGATTCTGTTGCGCATTGTGTACACGAATCTTTAGCCCGTGTATCATACTTCTTCATTATCTATGGAGAAGGCTCATTTTTTGTATGCCCTATTGCATGTCAATTCCATTGATTTACCTTCGTTCATTTATCAACAGATTTTGCGGGCTTTTCGTGTCACGAGAATGAGGGTGGGGCTGCTATATGCTTGCTTGATATATAGGTTAGTGGCTGCCATATAAGTGAGTTTCCCATAGGGGTTCCGAGGCGGGTTTCCCGGCCGATTGGCCGTATTACTATTGCTCAGAGTAGGTCGCATGCTTTTTTCTGAGCCAGCACAGCCTGTTGACCCGACTGTGCCGACTGATCCTAGAGATGACCTTATCTATTTTGATCCCTTTTTCCTCTGCTCCTCCACTCACTAATATTCCATCTTCGTCTCCTCCCGTCAAGCCTACTCGTCTACTTGCTGATATTTCT